AATAAATACTGTAAATGTATTTTCTCTTCCTTACAGTTTTACTTAATAACATTTTCCTTTCTCCAGTTTACTTTATTGTAAGCAGACAGTATAAAATAACTATAATGTGAAAAGTATGTATCAACTGACTGTGATCCATATGGCTTCCTTCCAGTCAAAAGTGGGCTATTGGTAGTTAAGTTTTGGGGATGTCAAAAGTCATACACAGGTTTCTGACTGTGCAGGGATTCAGCACCCCTAACCCCTGCATTGTTTAAGGGTCAGCTGTACTGGCATTGTTTACATTTCTTCATAATTATCTTAAAACTTGAATTAATTCATAATAAAAAGTTTAAAAGCAAAGAACCATTAGAGGAAAAGAGTAAGTGAAGTAGGGACAAGCATACAAGCGTCCCCTGAGTTCACGTGAGATAACTCCAATTTCCATTGCTCTCCAGCTCCAACTTTCTGTCACACTCCAGTCCTTCAGAGAGTGTCATTGAAGAATGGGGGGCAATGAGTCATGGGGCACAGAGTTCATCCTGGTGGGATTCCAGCTCAGTGAAGAGGTGGAAGTGCTCTTCTTCTGTGTCTTCTCCCTGTTATATGTCTTCAACCTGACAGCAAACGGCATGATCTTGGGACTCATTTGGCTGGACCGCAGACTGCACACCCCCATGTACTTCTTCCTTTCTCACCTGGCCGTCATTGACATAGCCTACGCTTCCAGCAATTTGCCCAATATGCTGGAAAACCTCGTGAAACACAAAAAAACTATCTCCTTTGTCTCATGCACTCTGCAGATGTATTGCTTTCTGATTTTTGCTGATACAGAGTGCTTGATTTTGATGGTGATGTCCTATGATAGGTTTGTGGCGATCTGCCATCCTCTCCAGTACACCACCATCATGAACTGGAGAGTGTGCACGGTCCTGGCCATTGCTTGCTGGGCTTGTGGATTTTCCCTGTCTCTGGTACATCTAATTCTCTTTCTAAGGTTACCCTTCTGTGGGCCCCAGGCAATAAACCACTTCTTCTGTGAAATCCTCTCTGTCCTCAATGTGGCCTGTGGTGACACTTGGATCGACAAAATTTTTCTCCTTGCTGCTGGCGTGTTTATCTTAGTCGGG